GAACAATCTAAAAATTAAACAATTTAAAAATCGAAGAATCGGAAAACCAAAAAATCTAAACCGAGAACTTCAAAAATCGAATAATCGAGAAATCAAAACATCAAGGAAAACAAAAAAATTAACGGAAAATCTAGAACTTAAAAATTGAAAAATTAAAATACCTATCGAAAAATTGCAAAACCAAGAAATCGAAACATCAAAAAATGGAAAAATTGAAGAACCGAAACATTGCAAAATCTCAGAACTGAAATACTGAAAAACTGAAAAATGGAAGGAAAATTGAAAAATCGAAAAAGTGAAAAAATTCAAAACTGAAATCTTGAAAAACTGAAAAATAGAAAGAAAATTGAAGAATCCGAAAAGTGAAAAAATCCAAAACTGAAACATTGAAAAATCCAGAAATCGAAAAATTGAAAAATCACAATTGAAGAAAGAATTGAAAAATCAAGAAATAGAGAAATGGGAAAATAAAAAAATCAGTTAATCGAAAAATTGAAAAATCGAAAAATTTAGAAACGTCAAAAATTGAAAACTGAAAAATAAAAAAATTTAAAAATCGTAAAACTGAAATATCGTAAAGTTAATAAATTGAAAAACTGAAAATTTTTGAAAAAAAAATCGTATCAAAAACTAAAAATTCAAAAAATCGAGAAATTGAACAATCAAAAAATCAAAACATTGAAATCCCAGTAAGTTGATAAATAGGAAAATTTAAAAAACAAAAATTTTAAAAATCCAAGAATTGAACAACAAAAAAATCTAAGCCTGAAAACTCAGAAAATTGAATGATCGAGAACAAAAAATCTAAAATTTAAAAATTCGACAAATTGAAAAATCATGGAACTGAAAAATCGAAAAGTCGAGATAGTGAGAAATCAAAACTTTAAAAACTGAAAAATTAAAATATCGAAAAATTTAAAAACCGAGAAAACACAATATCAAAAATTTGAAAAATTGAAGAAACGAAATATTGCAAAATTCCAAAGCTGAAATATTGAGAAACCTAAAAATGGAAGGAAAATTAAAGAATCGAAACAGTGAAAAAATCCCAAATTGAAACATTGAAAAATTGAGAAATGGGAAAATCAAAAAAATAGATCGATCGGAAACGTGACGACTGCATGCCTATTACGTTTTTTTTTCACATTAGATTTCAAAGCATTCGATTTTGTAATTCCTGATTAAATCAATAAAATAAATTTGCGCATTCATTAAATTTTTTGAGCCACCCTGTATATCCGAATCCAAAAAATACAAGAAGAGACTCATCATATTTGGTAAACTTTAAATAGGATTATACGGCAAACTTTTGAGTTGACGTCATCAATTTTTTGGAGGGGATAAGCAAATATATTTTGACTGAAAATTTATTATGCTCTTTATAACCTTAAAACATTTGCAAGATTTCAAAGCATTGGGTTTTGTAGTTCCTGATTAAATCAATAAAATAAATTTACGCATTCATTAATTTTTGGGGTCATCCTGTATATGCAAATCCAAAAAACATGAATGGAATGATAAATCACAAGAAGAGACTCATCATATTTTATACAATTTAGATAGGATTTATTCAGCAAAATTTTGAGGTGACGTCATCAATTTTTTAGAGGGGATAAGTAAATATTGTGATTAAAACGGTCCTGGTTTAATAACAAAAAAATAATGTTCGTTTATAAAACGAGCTTAGACAAAGTATTCGTAAAAAAAATATTTCTTAAAAAAATTTACGTATGCTGGTCCCGACTGCGATTGTGGTTTAAATATTTTTTAGAAAATACTGTCATGGATGTAGAAACATTTGTGACAGCCAAAGAGGTTTTTTTGAGAAAATTGTCTTTGAATTTAGACCAAATTGAAATAGACACTAGGCAACAGGCACATTTAGGCAAAAAAAAGAGAAATTAGGGTTACGGCTTCAAATTTTGGACGTATTTACAAACTTAGACCGACTACAGCAATAGCTAAAACTGTGGAGTCTCTGTTGTACAGTACATTTAGAGGTAATAGTCATACATACTATGGACAGCAAAGTGAAGAAAAAGCTGTCAAGTGTTTTGAAATAAATAAAAATATAAAAACTGAACGGTGTGGCTTGTTTATTTCAAAACAATTTCCTTACTTGGCTGCTAGTCCAGACAGGGTTCTAGAGGATAGGAGTGCATTAGTCGAAATTAAATGCCCTTCAAAATCGCACGATTTGTCTCCCGAAGAAGCGGTTAGAAAAAAAATAATCAAATTTTGTACATTGACAGACAGAGAATTGAAACTAAAAAAAAAATCATGATTACTACTTTCAAGTCCAGGGACAAATGCTTGTTACGGGTATTTCACAAGTTTATTTTGTTGTAGGAATAAATATAGAAAAAATTTATAGAGACAAAGAAATATATGTAAAAAGGTGGCAGATAAACTTGTCAGATTTTGCTTTGGCGCTTTATTACCCGAAATAATTGATTCAAGAAGAAAGAGGAACCTGCCTTTGCGAGAGATTTTTTTAAAATAAATAAAATTTGTTTCTATTTTTTTATGTACTTTAATAATTTATTAGGAGTACATTTTTCATCACCAAGACTTACATATTTTTATTATAAATATATTTTGAAAATGATCGCTCGGCAAATGAAAACATATACGAGCACTTTTTTCGAGTAAACAATGAAGGGAGAAGTTACTGAGCGTAGGGCTTTTTTAAAACACCTCCTTTCTGGGATAAGTAGTAGATACACTTAGCTACTTATACGTGTTAAACAAAAGCTGTATTTTATATATTTTTTATTATTATTATAAATATGTTTATTAGTTTCATTAATTAAGAAAGCAAAATATATATTAACAATAATATTACAATGAATTTTTAGTAATCATGTGTATTGAATTCAGGATCCTGAGTGGAGTAAAAATATTATAGTTCCCCAGTTTTAATTCGGTTTTATGATAGTACCTCATTGCGTAAAAGTTAATTTCCTTAACAATAGATTACTACGGCCGGTCCTGGCGGCTTGTTATAAAACTGAGTTCCTTGCCATAAATTAGAAAAATCAGCCGCGAACTCTAACAATCAGCTTATGGTAAAGCAGGCGATAACGGTTTTACCTGGAAAGTCGCTTCCGTAAATTTTAGTGGCGCTCCTATCGGCAAAGTACTGAACTAACTGTTCAAATTCTGTCGATTTGATACCCATTTTTTTCAATAATTGTTAGTTTTTGTTAAAAACTCTGCTAACCAGTAGATCATTAATTTTCCTCTGATATTCCAGTTAAAATTATTCGACGTATTTTGCATTAATTTGTGGTATATTTTGATTTTAATAAACACATTATTATTTAAACAAATTGTACCACTAACAAACATTTAATGACTCTGCGCCCTGTAAAAAGTGATGTTTTATTCATGTGCGAATTTTCAAGCGATTCTATGATGGTTATGACTCAAAAAACTTGAAAAGAAAACATACAATGGTGCTTTTTTTACGATATTTCTCAACCATATTTTTTTAGTTGATTGAACTGGTCTCTGCGCTCTAGAATATGAAAAAAGCTGCAGTTTGATGTATGATACATCTATATTAATATAATTTGTTTATACAAAAAACCAAAAAAATGTTATACCTCGTCTAGCGAGTCCCCTTAAGTGTTACACACTTCCTAACTTTTCATCAGGGATTTATATTAGCACATTTATGGTATTTAAACTAATTTTAACCGTTGATCCATTGTGAGAAAAAGTCAAATTAATTTTGCGGCTTGAATTCGAACATTTATTCTCGACGGTGCCGTTCTAGAGCGCAGCGTGTTCCAGACCAGCCTAATGTGGTTTTGATAGCACTGAATATGTGTTTGTTTGCTTGTGATGTGATATTTTAAAGAATTTAATGCCATGTCTATTCATTTCTATAACATTCATTTGGCAGAAATATAACCTGCTAAATGTTATATGTTATAAGAATCGACATGCAGTTTATGTCAAATGAAATTCCAGAGATAAGAGATATCAATTAAATAGATATACAAAGTGTATGCCAGTGTATTATTTGGGTTGCCTATCTCAGAATATCAATTATTTTAGATTTATATAATAACATAATAATAATAAAAAAATGAGTGACAGTCTTGCGTTTTTTATTAAGAGAAAAATTCGTTTAATTGTACAAACTCATACATTATGCACCACTATTAAAACGGAAAATAATTTTATAACATTTATTTAAAATGAATTGGCTAATAATATAAACCTATTTTGCTAACAACTTATAATAACTGTCTGCTGTAATCAATTCAAAAATATGATCCTCACTACCAGCTACAATTGGCCCCAAAAACAACGTATTATCAGCATCCCATGCCGTCCTGTTAACTGTTAGTCCATACCCATACACAGCACCATTAACAATAGTACCATCTCCATTTACAAACCACTGTTGATAAATAGAATCGACTTCATCGTATCGAGTAATGGCGTAATTGTCTTTATTAAAATCCAGTGCTCCCCTAAAAATAATCGAATGAATACCTACTAATTTATAAGTATAACCTAAGGTAAATTAATCCTTACACTGAAAACTTCACGTGAATGATATATAGCCAGTTCTCGGGGCAAGCAAAAATCTCCATTGTTGGTACTGCTGATAATATATGCTAGGATCATAGGCTTCTAAACCTACGTTCTGGTTACGACTAGCTAGAACAAGACCACTTGCTTTATGTCGTATGTAAAAGTACCGGTCCAGGGTGTCACAGGCACTTAGAGTACAGGCGATGTTTAAAGAAACAAACACGAATATGGTAAGTAATCTAAAACAATAAACAAAATAACAACACTTTTTTCTTTAATTTGCGGTATAAGTTAGAACCGTTTAGAGGAAGTCATTTTACTTTAGTTTATAGAGTACTCGTCGGTACTCAAGTCTTATATACTTGCTAAGATTAGCAAAATATTTAATCTGAGTTGTTGAAAGTTCGAGTGTTTTTGTTTTATTTAGTGTACAGATTTATTGTATCATTCATTTTTGTATATTTTATGTCATTTAGTATTTTGTAATATTACAATACAGTTTACTATGTAATTATAATTAATAAATTTTCACAAGGCGTTTTTCTATAAGGATTGTTCTTCAAGATCATGCGCATCAAGCAGTTCGAATATCTGCTCTGCTCCCGGTGTTCCAATGGGCGCCAGATAAATCTTGTCGATCTCACCGAACTCTGTCCTGTTTATTGAAATCGCATGCCCATACAAAGCACCATTAACAATAGTACCATCTGCATTAAAAAACCAGTCTTGATAAATGGAGTTAGTTTCGTCATACCGGGCCAGTTCGTAAGTATCCTTGTCAAAATCGAGTGCTCCCCTAAAATCACTCTTTTTTTCTTCAGTTTAGTACTATGCCAAAACTTACGTTGAATACTGTATGTGAACGATAAATAATCCAGTTCTAGGAGAAAGGTGAAATATCCATTGCTGATACTGCTGATGGACTGGACTAGGGTCATAGGTTTGCAACTGTACGTCAAAGCCAATACTAGCTAAAACAAGTCGGGTTTCTTTATGTCGTATGTACAAGTACTTGTCAAGGACGCTGCAGTCGCTTATAACGAGCACTGTGTTGACAGAGAACACCAAAAGTAAAATAATTAACCTAAAAATAAAAAAATATTATGCTACCAAACACTATCGTGAAATAATACTTTTTAAAAGTTGACATCTTAATTGAGAAGTGAGGAATCAGTTCCAAATGAAACCTATTTATATTGAAATTAGAGTCATAATTTATGAAATGATTCATAATCCGTCGAGAGTTCAAGTATTTTTTTATTTGCTGTTTTAAGTAGACATCATTTTGATTGCATCAGCTGATGCGTATTGTTGTTATAAGTACGATTTTTGTGTGGTTGAACCTAAACAATAAATAAAAAAAAAATTGTTAACATGTGGTGTAAATTTTAGTCGTTTGTGTTGGTACTACAAGTGGTTTCCACTATATTCCCTGGACGTCTCAAATAATAACTAACAATAAACAAAAAATAAAGTTTATTTGGTATTCATTTTTAAAATACAGTTTAGTAAATCAATAATTTTTTAAGAAACGAATTGTTTTTCAATTTCATCTGCGTAAAACAATTCGAAAAGTTGGTCTGCCCCCGGTTCTCCAAGAGGCGCCAGATAAATCTTGTCGATGTCACCGAAGGAAGTACTATTTACTGTAATCGCATACCCACTCAGAGCACCATTAACAATAGTACCATCTGAATTTAAAAACCATTCTTGATAAATGGAGTCAGTTTCATCATATCGGGCAATTTCGTAAGTCTCTTTGTCAAAATCGAGCGCCCCGCTAAAACAACCATTTTTCTTCTTCTTTAATTTAATACTATGTCAAAACTTACACTGAGTACCTGACCTGAATGGTAAACAATCCAGTTCTGGGAGAAACCTCAACATTCCATTGTTGGTACTGCGCATAGTATATACTAGGGTCATAAGGTTCAAAATCTACGCCCGAATTGCGGCTAGCTAGAACCAGTCGGGTTCCTTTATACTGTATGTAGAACATTTTGTCAAGGCTGCTGCAGTCACTCAGAACGAACCCAATGTTCATGGAAAGCCCCATAAACAAAATAATTAACCTAAAAATAAAAGTATTATTAAAACATCACCAATATCGCGGACAATACATTTTGAAAGACCCCATTTTAGTTCAGAATGAGGAATCAGTTCAAAATGGAATCTATTTATACTGAGATAGAATCAGAACTCGTCAAGACTTCAAGTGTGCTTTTTACTTGATCTTTCAAGTAGCTATCATTTGATTGCATCAGCCTAGAACTAGACGCATTTGTTTTGAGATTTTTATTATTGTTTTTGTGTGATTGATAAAAGTTATCTAATCCAAATTTTATTTTTACGTTATGAAGCAAATTTCAATAGCAATATTTCTATTCTTACTTTCCTTTCTTTCTTCTGGTTGTTATTGTCTACAGCGCATTTTTTTCCAGTGCGTTATGTATCTTTTCTACCTAGAAAAAAAAAACTACTAACATTGTATGACTTTCCACATGAAAACGAAAAGACAATTTCGTCATAAAATATTCGATTCATTGTATGATGAAATCAGAGACAGTACTTAAGAGTCTTATATAATAAAAAAACAAACACTCAACGTAGACCTGATTAACGTCAACCAGATAGTTCCGATCAGCTATCTGTCACATAGAAAGACGCATTATAGCGACAAGTGGCCTTTGTTTGGATTAACTTAAGTACCTGTGAACTTATTGGCGTCTGTAGTACAAGCTCAATGGTCAAAAACGTGCAAGTTCACTGTAAGTTAATAATAACGTCATGTTACTAAAATTAGACAATAGAAAACCGGTAAATTTATAACTTTTTAACAAATTTTCGTAACTACAAGGCATTACAGAATTTTGATATTTTTGGCGCTTATTCAAAATTTTAATGGTTTTTTTTTGTAATCAAGTTTGCTTTCAGCTTAAATCGCATGATATAACTACTAAAATAAAGACATTATTTATAACAACTGTAGGTTTATTGACATTACAATTTCAATATTCTTAACATTCTAAAATAAAATCATGCTTCAACTCTGCGAAAATTCCAATGAAAACTGTTCACTTTCAATATTCTCCTCTGTATGTGGAGTCAGCACTATGTAGCTTCCCGGGGTAAAATCGCCATTCCTTACACCCAAAGCATAATCTGGATAGGCACCACTGACAATAGCACCATCTGAATTAATGTAAAACTCTTGACTTTTCAAATCATTAAGTTCAGTCAAAGTTGCAACATAGAGACTCCCATTCTCAATGATGTCCAAAGCTAACCTAAAACGTTGCTCAAAATTAAACTATTCGACAACTCTGTATACCTACCCTGTGCTGTTACTAATAATATTGAAAGATGCAAGGGTCACACCAGGTTGAAAATGGAACCGTTGGCTAACCGACCGGTCGTAAACTTGCAGAGTTATAATGTTCAACACTTCATCAGCGACTAAAACCAACCCTGACTTGTGGCTTCTGATGACGATGTTTTGATCCAGATTGCCACAATCAGCAGCGGAAGTGGTGCTTGTGGCACCCAGAAGCAAAAGTGCCCAGAAACTAAAACTTTGGTTAAAATTTGCAAACGCTGTTAGCGTGGATACGTACGTTGTAACTTGAAGCTGCATCGTTGGCTTTGTCAGATACTATATCAATAGTCAGCGTTGTTCATTTGTTGCTTATATAGCCACTTGTCATTAAAAGTAAAGTGGCCAAGATTTTATCTGTTGTTTGGATTGATTCTGATGCAATCTCTTGTGACTACTTCAACTTTCGGAAAAATAAAAACACAAATCACAATGTAAGTCCACTTATTGAAACGAAACGATCTGACGCAATTCGCAGACAAAAGAGTTATGACTGTTATGAGTACTAGATAACACTGGCTATATATTAGAGATACAATTATCACTTGTGTTTATTTTCGAGTTGTAGCACTTTAAATGAAAATGATTCATTTTAAGGTGGTTTTTCTATTCTCTGTAGTTTTATGTACAACGGTTGTCACCGTGCTGAGTGACTGCAGCTCTTTAGATCAGTACTTCTACATCAGGAATAAGGTTTCTGGTTTGGTGTTAGACGCAAGTGACAATAAAGGCATCAGGATTCAGCCTTATAACAGTTCTGCACGATATCAGCAATTCAGGATAAAACCTGCTAGTAGGACTGGATTGTTTAACATCATCAATACCTATACAGAGTAAGTTGAATCTTTCGCAGTTCACTTAATCAAGACAGTACTTTTACAGGAGGGCACTAGGTTATCTTCCGGTAGGTGAGCATGGTTACTACAATGAAGTCAATTTTACTTTGATATGGTTTGAAAGCAGCGTTTATCAAGAATTTTTTATCAATGGTGATGGCACTATTATGAATGGAGGTTTCTATAATTACGGTATAATGGTTGACCAGAACCCATTTTACGCAGGCAATTTTGTCTACATAGCATCTGGTGAGAATTTTGGAGAAGATCAACAATTCGAGTTGACTAATGGAGGTCCCTTAAATATAAGATTATTTTGCTAGGTTAGAGTTAAGTTCATAATACACACAACATGCAAATATACAAAGATAACACAGAATATGACGAACACCTTAATAGGTTGATGAAGGTAAATCTTCCCATATTTTAAATTCCTGGTTTATGCTTCCGTTATTTTGAGAAACAATAAGCGGGGTTCCATATTTAAGATGTCCATTTTCGAAATGTCGATATCTGAGAGTAAGAGCCAAGTTGGTACCTACATTAATAATATGATGATCTTGTGTCAAGTACCACAACTGCGTAGGAAACCCATTTCTTGAACTCATGATAACGGAATTAGTTCTTCTATGAACGTCCATTACTTCTCTAAATAGTTTAGGCAATGTTATTGAAAATGTATAGATACTTTATGTCAGATATATTACCCTGTTGGTTCACTAACTAGGTGGAACGGTCCATGTTTGTTGATGCCTTGAATATGGAAGAGCGAGAAGGCTTTCCCATGGCTGTATATTTGCAACTGAACTTGTGATGAATCACGAGTATGTAGAGCCACAGTTTTATCATGCAGGGGACGAATGGTATAAACTTCGTTTGGGTAATAATGGGTGCGGGTGGCCATTATTGCAACAATATTTATTGCAAGAATGAGAGAAAGCAAATACATCGAGAAGCTAAAATTAGAATGTTTTATAAAAAAATTAAAAAAAGTTATGTTTTGAAACTTACCTTTTAGGTGCCATTTTTGTTGTGTTCTTAGAAGTGTATTCGGAACAATACTGCTAGAGTTTTTCTGTGGTGGGTTTATATACGAACAAATTAATCTTGATCAATGCCATCAGTGGATTTTTAAAGATTTTGTGAGATTGAATTAAATTTATGACCCAACGCCGAAACTAGATTAGAATTTTTATCCAAACTGTAGAACAGGTTATGGACAAAGCTTTGAAAAATATCCAGGAATTTGAAACAATAGATGTACAGATTTGATAATTTATTTCAGGTTCAAAAAATCTTCTTGAATTGAAAGTACATACATGGTACTAATATGATTCGGTACTAATCTCTGGTGCTCGAGAACAATTAGTTGGATCACAAAATTTTCTATCTTCTTAATAATATATATATATAACCCCGTACTTAATCATTTAACAAATTTTGTGTAGGTGATTCGATTATAATCCTATCGAGTGATATTTTTATCAATGCCTACTATCTGCTAACTCTTTAACTAATCACCTCCATAAATATTTGACCTAATAAATTCAATTTTACAAATTTTTGACCATGAGGCCGCAATCAAGATAACACAATATTGATTAAAGGAATATTTTTATTTTATGAAAACGTAAACTAGAAATATTCGTAAAAGATGAAGAATTCTTGCCTGTGGAACATATTTATACAAACATTTCTCCACTTGGAAAGTGAAGTTCAAAGAAAAAGCGATTTAATGTGAGATTATGAAGTTCGTTGAAGAAAGAAGTCATTTGGAAACGAGAATCTTTTTAGTCAGCTTTTAGAAAAATAGTTTTTTATGACCCAGGTAGGAAATTATTGAATTTGGAAAAGAAAACAAGGTTGTAGAGTTTTTCATTAAGAAGAAGTGTCATTCTAGCGTACTAGAATCAGACAAAACAGATTCGCTATCAATAAAGAAATAAGAACCAGAAGTTTCCTCAAAATTATACAACATTTGGAAATTGAATCAACTTATTAGAAGAATCATCGAGAAGAAACGAAGAAAAATTTAAAAATAATAACTGAAGCTGACTAAAGACGTACGTTCGAAGTTCTAGAAATTTTCGCCACAAAAATCATCGTAAGATGCCAGAAAGGATCAAGAAGTTAAAAAAAAAAACAGGAAAACAATTTCTGATGAAACAGGCAACTACAGTATGCAGATCATCAAAAATTAAGAAATGCTCCAGATTATTTTTACAAATAAAAAGAAGAGGTAGAATGTACTTGAAGCAAAGCTAAGAAAATTTTGAAATATTTTCCTTTATGCTGTATGTAGAACATTTTGTCAAGGCTACTGCAGTCGCTTAGAACGACCCCAATATTCACAGAGAGCCCCACAAACAAGATAATTAACCTAAAAATAAAAGTATTAGTAAGATATCACCAATATCGCGAGATAATACAATTTGAAAGACGTCTTTTTTGGTTAAGAAGTGAGGCATCACTTAAATCGTGATTTATTTATACGCAGGCAGAATTAGAATTTATAACACTCAATCATTACTCATCAAGATTTCAAGTGTGCTTTTTATTTGATGCTTCAGTGGCTATCGTTTTATTGCATAAGCGTAGAGCTAGACGCATATGTTCTAAGATTTTTATCATTGTTCTTTGTGTGGTTGATAAAAGTTATCTATAATTCAAATTTTACTTTTACGTTATGATGCCACTACTCATCGCAATTTTCAATAAACGGTCTATACGTGCTAAGAGAACTTGAGCAAAGCCTTCATAAAAAAATTCCAATAGCAATTATTTTTTATTCTTACTTCCTGTTCTTTCTTATGGTTGCGACATAAAATATTCGATTCATTGTATGATGAAATCAGAAACGAGGATTTTGCAAGTAAACTCCGCCCTTCAGCTCACGATGAATAAAACATTCATCACAATTGAGAAGGGGTGGGTGGGCGGGGCTTGTATTTTGTCCATTTTTTCTTAATATACCAAGTCTTCTTTTCCCAAAAAGAAA